ACTTTGATGTTACATTCGTCTAAAATCAAATAAAATCAAAAAAAATAACCAGACCTAATTCTAATCAGAGTTTCAACTATATATACGTTTATTGAACAGTTTCATACGGAGAATCGTATCCACTGGATATGGTATTTTCTTTATAAAATATATGTTAGCTTTGAAAAAAAAATCCTCACGTGTAACTAAATAAATAGTCTGATTTAATTACGTACATATAGCAGAACTGGGAAAATGCCGTCGTCACGGTCGCATTTGGTGCTGCAATATAAAATCGTCGCCTGGAATCTATCCAAACTGAAGCGATGCGGCTCTCCTACATACATAGACACAGTCAGATTTATCGTTTGGTTTCACCGACTTAATGAAAACAAGGATGTTTTATAGTCACATTAAGCGAGGTTTTACAACAAAGCAAACTATGCCTCAATTAAAAATAATACATATAATTAAATATAACTACATTATCGCGTTCGGTTGTAAACAAATATTTATAATAAAAATGAAATGCGTTGCCCGCCCATACCTACCAAATTGTCAGTTGCCAAACGTACCTAATTCAGTAAAACAAAAAACCTAAATGACAACAAATCTACGAGGTAATAAACAATCTGAGCATGTTTTTGCGATTATTAAAATAATAAAATACAAGTGCCGAAGAGACCGTTTTCTTTATCTATCGATTATATAATATGTTTTATTCGAACAACGTAGTAAAAAAGCGGAGGCGTAAAAGTTAAATAAGTAACGGTAAAGTGAATACCGGCTTGAACTAACAGCAGAATGGTTAGCTAACGTTTTTGGACACCAAATCCCCAGAGCATTGATTCTAAGTCACATGGGTAGAATTTATTGTTAGTTCCGTGCCGATCGAACAGTGTGACCGCAGGAAATAAGCAAGTGAAATTGTCGCTGGCGGTTATGGTTTTATTTGCTCTTCTTCCTATGTCAATCCGCCTATTCTGCACGGCTACTTTCCTCTTTATTCGTCTTACACCCTTCCCTCCCCTCGGTCGTCGAGGGCCCCTTTTAAAGTTCAAACTCAATGTGACTTGTTCCCACTCAAAATAGCGCAATCCGATTAAGTCTCGCACAACAATTTATAAAAATATGTATTCTCCAAATGTTTTGTCGAGGTTTGCTTGAATGAAAATATTATAAATAAAACATTTGTCGGGGGTTTTAAAAAAAAATTATATATTATGTTATGTATTTATTAACGATAAGACAGATGACCTGTCACCCCGATTCGAAAAAAAAAACGATAAGACAAATTTTGGTTTCCTAACAATATACAGCAAAAATAAGATATCAATAATCCAACGGCTTTGAATTGGAAATGGTAAAAAAATCCGGATAATCCGGATGTCCGGATCCGGACAATAACAAAATGAATTATCCGGATAATCTATATTATTAAACTGTGTTTTTGCCAATCCTATTCTGTTTGGCATTTAATTTGCATTATTGGGAAGTGTATGTTCCCATGCCAATAAATATGACTCCTTCATATTGAATTATCTTTAGTTACTATGTAAAAAATAACTTCATCAAATTTCAGTTACATTATTGTCCGTGTATATAAATTGAACAGTTTCGCTATGATGATGTAATACCAGATTTATTTAACATACTTGGGCAAAAGATTTAAGGTGGAAAAAAAATAAATTTGACATTTCTACACATGAATTATACCCGTTTGTTAATATATATTTGTACTTCTTTAATTATTAGAACGAGAATACATTGTAGAAGCCAAAGGGACATAGAGATCTGATCCGAGATATAATAGAAAAGTGTAATTTAATTTAAAAAATGAGATTTTAAATTCGGGGAAAAATCATATAAATAATTTTTAACAAAATTTGGCGGGTTTTTACCGGCCACCGACACGCTATATACACATAATTTAATACCGTTTTATGCAACAGAGTTTACACAATTTACGTCAAATTTTAAATGAATTATGCAAACGTTATACTGAACATAATATTATGACGAGGATAAGGTTTCATCAACAATATCGGGTTACAAGGCCTACATAATGTGATCGGGTAACCGTCGTACAACAACACAAGACAATTTTGTTGATTATAATATTTTATTTTGTTTGCAGAAAGTTATACATCTGTTCGCTTTTGAGAAACATTATTTTTTACTCGTCTTTTTCTGAGTTCAGTGTCAAGTGTCAAATATATATAATAGTTATGCTGAACTTCCGAGGGATTAAAACGAATTCGATTCACATACAAACTGGTAAGAAAGCGTTTATACAAACATACGATTGTAATTTGAAAATTTGCCACATAAACTGTTTACGAGTTTTGTTTGGGTAAACGGATGCTTCGGGTTATCACTGTGGGTACACTGTATAGCCCTATAGTATATGGAAATGTACCATACCATTAGCATTGAAACGTCCAGACCCCAGGGTAACTATACAACGTTTCCCTACGGATGAATAGTACTCAATAAAACGGCAGAGCTTAGGCATATAAAACTACGGTAGTTTATCGTTTGCGTGAGACAACATTAACGTCAGTACATACTTAGTTTGCAGACCGCAGTCTCGCAATTTATACTTGGTCCATTATCATTAACTTGATCAATTATTTTCATGCGTCTACTATTGCGGTATGAGCAGCACAGCTAGTTCTTAATTAATTCTAAAACAAAATAAAAAAATTCAAGGTTTCATTGTGGCCGGATGGCGGATGCATGTTCAAAAAACTTTCGGTAATAAGAATTTACAAATATATCTCTGTCAGCGATTCCATAGGGCCTTAAAGTCCCGTTAAGTTGATGATGATGATGATGAAATATATCTTAGTACATTAACGAACTTTGCTTTCTGTTTGGATATAAATCGAACACTTGCTCGGCTTCGCGTCGGTAAGACTGTGCACATAAAATAATCGTATACCAGCTAAAAGTGTTTCCCCTAAGTATGTCACAAGGCCGAAAATAAAATGTTAATCATACTTCTAAAGTGGAATTTCTACGGTTATCTCGTCGTTTTTAATCGTCTCGCCGGTGTAGCGATTTTCATAACCATGAATATTTAGTAGCTATTAGAATAAAACACATCCCGCAGTAGGTATACACCCGCACGGGTTGCACATTAACACTTATAAAATATGCATGCAAAATATTATGACGCCATAAATCATATAGCTTTTTGTAGTACACGTACAATAATATGTAATATTCGTTAAAATATTCTTTTGATACTTTTCAATTCCGCACTCAAATCCTGAACGCAACCAAAACTAAGCCGAACGGTTAACCACAAATTTGTGTAGACCTATATTTATATAAGTAAGAATAAAAAACTGCATGTGTTATTCTTAATGACCGCAAATTCATATAAATTGTACATATAAATCATTGGAAAAAAAAATTGGACGTAAAGAAAAATGAGATAGATTTCGAAAATCCGCTTGCAATGACTTTTCAATGAAATATTATTTGGCACACGGATATTTTTTTCATTTTTCCGTCCTTCTTACTTATTGTATCATAGTATGCCTGAATGGGCTACTGACTTAACGTTTTTCAGTGGTCTCGGCTGCAGACACTTTGGGATAATTTATTGCTCTGAGAAGTACATACGTTTAGCAGAAATAATATTTCGGTAGATATATCAAAATGCTATCTTAAAAAATGTATAGGTGTAAACTATTGATTCATCGCAGCAGTAGAAAACGGTACAAAGCAGTAGAACACCTGAGCGAAAACGGTTAATGTGAATTTATACTATAAAAATAGTAGTAATACAATTATCGCATGACAATAAAATTTAAGAAAAACATGATAATTATTATTGTTATAAGATATTGCAGATACATAAAGGCCATTAAAAACCACATAAAACTAATCTTTTCCTAATTATAACTCTCAATGTGTTTGCTTAAACTGTTTTTTTTTAATGATTGTTCATATGGTAAGTCACAAAAAAAAAACACTCCAACCCACTTTCTTATGTATAATTTTTGTGGTTAATCTCCTCTAGTACTGAAATCAGTGTTTGTACATTCTAATTGAATTGGGATGTGACGTAAATTATCCTATGAAACACAGTTTCTTTAATTAAATTGAAAACCTTAATTTATGTCATTCAAATCCAACTGTGCAGATAAGCTAACACAACTATCTGCAGCGTGCCAATAGAAAAATAATACAAATAAACTTTAATTGATTTTCAAAGGTAAAGCTAAATACTGCGTACGTCACAACTTATCTGGAAAGTTCTTTAATTATATTATTATTTGATGTTTTATATAAGTTAACTAAAAAAAAACACTTTTTCTGATGGAAAAAATATGATAAATAATAAATTGTTTATCAACTTACAAACCAAGGTTTCCTTTTAAATCTGCAAGTTGTCTTTAAGCTTTACTCTGCCCTCCGGTAAGTTAATTTTCTCTTATAATAATACATAAAAGATCAACATTAAAGGAATTACATTTTATCACTGAGAATGTTACCCTTTGTTATAGCAACAACGGGTCGTTATTTCAAGAGCCTAAAACACAATGGAGTTTTGAAAATTCTACAAAAGCTTCTAATTAACTTTCAGCTAATGCAACTCATTGTTTTATAAAATATTTCCACAGGAATAGTAATTTCAAGATTAACACAAACTCGGATGAATTTCATTGAAGTAACCCCCTTTAGACATTCCTGTTTAAAACGATTATTATTAGACGAATGTCTACGAAATTAGTTTACTAAAATGTAATTTACAGGATTAACATATCAAAAGTGTTTTTGCAATAATATTACTGCAGCTGTAGTTTTATGTTCAACAGCTTATACAATTATTTTACGTGATAATAGTAATAACTTGATTTTTTTTTTAGGCCTGCAATGCGGTTAGGTACAAATACTTTTGAATCGATGATAGGTACATCGTTTTTTTTAGTGTTCTGCGACGTTTGGGGTTTTATAGTACCCTACCTGTCATAACTTTCCAAAGAAAATATATGTTAAACACTTGCCTATGCCGTTGTCTTGTGCGGTGGAAAAAAATCTGTGACTATTATCGTTGGTTTTACTGTTGGTCCATTTGGTTCGCTGCCGCCATCACGGCGAGTAAACTGAAAAAAAATAGTATAATATTTCAATTAGACCGAGCTCTTGTGTCGTTTCGCAGGCGTATCGACCGCCTAAGCACGGCGGTCGTCCCACATGAAATATTAGCCACTCCGGTTCTTTTCATCGCTAATAATACACACAACCGTTTTAAAAATATATCAGTCTGTTTCCGACTTTTGCGTTACATAATAAAGAACGCGGGGTGTCGTCGTTTTGACATTATAACGAACAAATAAAAATGAACAACCCGCTTATAAAATATCACTTGCACAAATCGCGTTACGGGAAATTATCATTTATTCATATTGTTATGTTCGGCTGTAATCGACAAAAAATTGATGTACGATTTTTTCTTTTTTTTTGCTTTTGGTTTTGTCCTGAAATTAGTACCTATCCGTCCGTGTACGCACTGATCAATTAGCTTACGGTTTTAATTGGTTGGGTTTTGCACGTAGGTACATGCGGTATACAGTGCACTCGATGGCCGGGTTTCCAAAACGCTTGTGCTCTCCACGTTAAACAGGATGTGCTCGGGTTAATTTGACCCCTGCGCCCCTTGCCACGCGCGCCTCGTCCACCCACATACACTGCCGTTTTTCCGTTTCCGACCTAAATGTAACATTTTACTTGACGCATTTCAAACTTGCCCGGCCGTTAATGATTTATACAACGTCAAAACGACCTACCGCTCCCCGAGTGATACGCGTATCGGTTAGGTTTATATCTATTTAATTGATACGTTTTACCCGGAGCTATATATATATATATGTATGTACTCTGTCTCGCGAGAGAACGACACTGCGCAGAAACCCAACCAAAACGCGTCACTCTAATGCGTTTTGGTTTCCGCGCCGTACCGTTCTCTCGCGAGACAAATATTAAATATCGATAATAACCAAAGTAGCGAAGGCAATGTAAAAAATGTGAAAACCACATTATCGCGTGTTGGAAATTAAACGTTGAAGTATCGACAAGTGTGCAAGCGACTATAGGGTTAATCGTCCGTCCAGAACGATTTGTTGCCGCCGTTACCCGTATAGTATAGCAGTTCTCGCAGCACGATGAAAATATGTTTCTGATACCTGTTGATTGATGATTTATTCACACGTAAAAGCAACCCACATTGCACTCCGCCTTCAGTACAATCTTCACACCTCAATTCCCTAAGCATCGGCCGAAAAAGAGAAATAAAGAAAATGTTTCCTGGCCCTACGCTAGGCGAAACGGTTTTTTGTTATTTTTTGGTTTGTCCAATGGTTTATTGATAGCACTTTATCAAAAATTATATCTTTATTTGGCGGAATAAAGAACCATCTGTAGACTTGCTACACGAAGAAATCGGTTTAGGAGAGTCTGACACAAAAATAAAAACCATAATTAATTCAAAGCTAAATTATATCAAAAGCTAAAAGTTTTCGCAAAAAATTAAGCATACTGTATTACCTAAGTCCGATATTCAATTCTGTGTTTTTTTTTCGGAAATAAAACAATATTACTATGTATTATGACTTTGGAACAAAATTCAAACGGGATTGCCGAAACGAATTTTAAAAATTGAAAAACTAATAACTAGTGTACGTTATATGTATATACATACACGATTTAGATTTCCCAAAAGGATTTGGTATTGTAAGTTCATTTCCATTTATGGAAATAAAAAAAAGCCTTAGTACGACGCTCGTTATCCCAATACCGATAAACTTTAGTAGGTATTTTTTTTATGTGACTGTCCTGTTGTTAAATTACCCAAGGGGAATTAATTAATCCGCTCGCCTAATCCCAAAACGTAATTTCAACTTGTATTATTGGTATACAATATTATACCAATAGGAAAATCTGATTTAAGTCATCCGATCGGCTTTATACAAACCTTTTTCAAGAGTTTAAGTCCTCGTTACCGCGGTCGAAGGTTTATACGGGAAATAATTTTACTAAAACTGTTACAGCTGCTTTTTTTGTTATTATTATCTCGTTTTTAATCGAAATCGTTTGTATTCTGGACAAATCCAATTCCCACAAGTTGTAATGGGTTTCTAATTTATTTTTAAATGAGGTACGAGAATATGCAATCCAAAGGGAATTATTAAAAAAATTAATTCACGCGTTTCTATTTTATTATATCACCCAACAGTTTAAGCGAAATATATTTAATCGGCCACGCTCCAATGATGTTTACTTTTGATGTTTGATTTGTATAATATGTATACATTACCATTGGATTAAATACTTAAATCGTTGTATACATTTATAAATGTTACATATAGATTGAATTTGACGAAAGAAAACCCAACGAACCGGAATCATTTGATAGTACTAACAGTTCAAGCGTTAATTGATTAACTAACCGCATGTTTTTTTTTTTAACATTTCGAAATCATATGAATAATACGTAAACTATACGATTTATCTTACTAGTTTACAAAAATAACAGTTTATTAAAAATTGCTGTAAAAATATTGAAATATTTGACATGTCAGTTTGATGTCCAATTTACACTACCAATCAAATCATAAATATTGTGCTGTGATTTCCCTTATAGCAATAATATTTTCAAAAGGCTTCTAAATTAATAAGAAAAAATATTTTAGTAATAATATTGTACAAACTTTAGTTTTGGGTTCAGAAAATATAATAGTATTTGTTGAACAACATTTTGTTATTATAATTATAAACCGATAATCTCTGACAAAATCATATTTATTTGAAATGTTTAAAACAGGTTTCACATTTTTTTTTTAAACATTGTTATGCTGTAATAGTCTATGTTGAACTCTGAATGAGTAAATGTATTTTCTAATATCATTTTAAAAACTTCCATTACTGATTTCAATAAGTGAATGTTGTAAATAAGAAATTTGACGGATAAGCTTTAAGTTTCCATATTATGATTTATGATTGACTCGCAGTATACCAATCATTCTATAAATTGTGTACTAAAGTTTTGGCTCAATAAATATTTGTAAAATAAACAATAAAAAAAATACCGTTTATTCGGCGGATCAATACTGTGCAGTTGTAGGATTAAAATATGATTTTTTTTCTCCGTTATTTTATTGCTTTTATGTTTGTTCGTGTATTTATAATAAAAGCTTTTTTATAAATTAAAAATCTCGAGCACGCTTGTAAATTGAAGTATTTTAGTAGTTATCCTGTAGTTATGCAATTACGGTAATGCGTTTTATATAATCGAATATTTCATAAATAAAAAAAATGTAAAATGTGCGAGAGATAAAATTATTGGAATAATTTTGTTTGATGCATTGAAAATCGGTAGAAAAATACAAAATTGGCCATGTCGTTTATTTTTCGACGGAAAAAGTTTTGTACCTACTTGACAATATTAAACCAACCCCTTCCCCCCGCCTCTGCAGACTGCCAGGGCTTTTGACTGTCAGCGATTGCAGAGCAAGAACGCCGCCGTCAATAAACATTACCATTGGTCGTGACGAGCTTAGTATACATTTTGTCGACAAAAAAATAACATTTTGTTCGTTTCAATCTCAGCTGCGCAGGTATTCTCTTCCTACTGTTCAAATTCATCATCCGTACAATGTGTATCGACTGAAAACTAATTTGGACTCGACGGGAACACGTACCTATTACAATACATCTATAAATACATAAAATAATAAATAAATAAATATATTATATGGTACACCGTTGACGGCGAAACTGGCACATGGCAGAGTTACGAAAAACACGTATTTATCCTGAATACTAATACCCAACCCGGCGACAACCCGGACAGGTATATATATATATGCCGGTTGTAGTATTTGGACACACTTCATCCGACCTAATCCACCAACTTTTCCATTATGTTATCCCGCACAGCACCGAGAGTCACGTAATGTTTTGTTCTCACACACACACACACACTGTACTTAAGTGGGAAACAAGAGCACGAGAGGGTACACAATATATATATATATAGCTATAAAATTGTAAATAAATACAATTGTATTTAGCCGACGTGTCGAAAAATGTCATGCGACCCTTTGACAAATCGTTTACTGTATATGTCTGTCGTAGGGGGGACGTTTACGCACTTGACCCCGATTTCGGCCGTGCCCAGATAACTTTTCCAAAAAAAAAAACGGTCGCGCTGACAGCTGAAAAGTGTAATTCGCTGCTCGGCTGCCTATTTTGCCGCCGGCTTTTAATATTTAATAACATCCGCAAAGGCCACGGTGCGCTGGGTTCTGCACACACAACATTAATATATATTATTATGTACGCGCGGCTTTTGTCAAACAACGGCCGGCACCTTTTTCGTAAGTCAATTTTTAGGTCGTGTATTTGAAAATTTTGTCGAAAATAAGCAAATCTCTGGAAGCGGCGGGCATACGGATCGTTTGAACAGGAAAGTCGTCAAGTCCCGTTTACCGCCTGACGGCAAACAAAATATTTTCATTTGACGATCAACCACAATCTTATAGATAAAAACTTGAAATACTTCCATCATTATTATAGAGAAGAAGAAAAGCGTGCGCAGCCTTAAACCGCCAGATATGCCACCAATCAATATAGGTTCCTTTTCAATAAATGTTCCTGGAATAGTAAATAAAATTTTATCTATCAGATTTGACCCTCAGCAATACAATAAAAATGTCTATTACATTTTTTAAAAACTAGGTTTCTTTCACAAATGTTTTTTTTATAGAAATTTGAACTCTGGCTTTTCGTTCCAAGACACGCGATAAACACCGTTTTTTTTTTTTCGAAATATTTTATAATTTTGTTCAAGATAATTCCCTTCAGAATGATGAATCTTGTCATCTCCATAGAAATATAATACGGTCCCCCTTTTTAACCGATACACAACATATAGGTATGTGTTTTCGTTAACAATTATGATAACCGGAGTTGTATATAATAATAAAAAAAGAGTTTTCTGAGTTCATTAGGTCCAATAAACGCGGTCGGTTTAAATGTATTATATCCCGGCCAACGTTTTATCTTTTATTATAGTCTCCCGAGTTTCAATCATACTACAACATCC